GGGTCTCCGTCAGGATCATTCTGGCTTCACTGCATGATTGCGTCTCGCCACGGGCAGGACGACGTCGCTGCAGCAGTGTCACGAGAAGAGTGAAGCATACCAGTAATTAGCACAAATTCTGTTCTATTATGATGACGGGCATAAGAGGGTCTGGGCGGTGAGTTGGGTCGACACAAACCGCTGTGAAATTGCAACGCAAGTCAGGTAGTCTCACATAACAGATAACACGCAAAGTTCGCCGAGGTGCTCAACATGAGGTTGTATGGCCACAGCCTTCCTCGGTGCGAAAAGTGGCCAGCTTCATGGAGAAGGCATTTCACAAATCTCGGTCTCGCCAATTGGCCAGTACTATTTCTAGTGCATCCCAGCCTGGTGGTACTGCCCTTTTAGTACGGACTAATCTGATCTATCCCTTCGATGTACAGACATGTTCTATGTGCGAACCCTTGTAATAAGAACGGTGCATGGCAGCCTCGGCAACACTGAATAATCCGCTTCACTGACCTGGATTGGTGGATGTTTACAATCATATTGTTAGGAACTTGGCTTGCTTGGGTAATAGCGAACCGAATGGTGAACAATGCCCAGGGCAGACAGGTTGTCAGGGTTAACCCACGTTTCGATCATCTAGGTAGTTGAGTCCCAGCGCCTATCAAGCTCTCCACGCGTACAGCCCTGGAAGTCCAGGAGCGTCGGATGGTTGTGGTGTCGTTGTGGTGTGTTTGCTAGGAGGATCTTGAGGACGGGCCCTTGTCGAGTCCTTGTCTGACAAGGGTGACCACAAAGCGTACATCATCAGCTCAGACATGAACATCGGTTCATTTATCATCAGAATTGTGTGCAAGCCCTGATCATTGTTTAACGCCATGGTCTTTCGCAAACTGAGGCCCAGGGTCTTGGGCTTGGGCACCTGCTTGCGCACACTGCCAGGGTATTGAAATTTCTCTATGAGTCAGGATTGACAACGAGCAGAAAAGGCTCCATCATTCACAACAAGAACAGCAGCCAAAATATCATCGGTGTGGAACCACATCACCGTCTGCCAGGACACGAAGTGGCCAACGCATCAATGCACCTATGTTTGAAGTACAGCACAGCCCAAAACTCGGCTGCAATGCTGCTCTGCCCAAGGTTACTGCAAAGCCATGAAAATGGATGGGATTCTTTCACCGCCGTATGCAATAGGTGCAGTGACATTGGTATTCAGACCTTGGTGCAACAATTCCTGGCTGGCTTGATCGCAACTTTCATTTTCCGCATACCACATATTGCCGACCGGGCGGCAGTTTCATTAAAGAGGTTTTCCGACTCAGCCGACTGAAAAAGTTCGAGGCCTGCATCACCAGCTGCAGCACCAATGTACTATGGTAACAGCAATGTTCTATTCATTTCCACGTCGCTAATCTGAAATCTAAATCATGGGATTTCGCGCCAAACTTGAATCGGAGATGCCGTATCTTATTGGAATGCTTTTCGTGTGCGCAACTCTATTTATTACACGGAAATACAGTATTCAAATTTCTGACTAAGGCCCATCAGCTGCTTCGCCTCAATGCCTTGTTCAGCTCATTTTGTCCATGCGGCGGCATCCTGGTGTCCCGTTCCGTCAGCCCAGCCCAGGTCGGAAACTACCATAGCATCGGACATGGCGAGGATGGATGCAAGCAGTATCACCCCGCAAAACTTACATACATCAGAATATTCTCGAGAGCATGGAGGATTTCCTCCCGCCTGGGTATTGTGAATTACAACATATTTGAAGTAAATTTTTCGATGGGAGTGGACAAGATTTGAGACGGCTGTCCAGGTAGTCGGGTTTGATGGCCGCAGGGAGAGAAAAATGACCATACACTACAAGTATACTTCATAAAAGGTTGTTTGTTTGCTTCTTGCCTCATTGTTACCGGTCTAGCGAAACCCAAAATTGTTGGCCACCTACGTACTGAGAACCAGACCTAGCGAAGCAAGATAGGCAATAGTGCTATGCAAGGCAAAGAACTCTCCGTCTACTAACTCTGAAGCCAGCGACTCATTGATTCCTGGGTGGGTGTGTGTGTTCGTACTCTCAAACCAGCAGGTATGTTGGCTGACGTTGGTTCCCTAGCCCACGACGCTCAAGAGATGCAGTCAGGCAGTGAGGGATGCAGGGCAATGAGACCAAAAACGATGGCATGGCATGGCAAGATGGGTTCAAGTCAGGGACATGTCGCCACCTTGTCGCGGCACCTGTCCCTGCTTCAAGAGAAGAAGAAGAAGAAGAAGCCCTCCCTCCCGGTAAATGTCTGATCACCGTCTCGTGTATACACCAACCACATCAAGCGTCCTTTCCGTTGATTTCTCCCTTATCCCCGTCAGCTCGATTCGTATATGTATGTGTGCTATGTCCCCCTTTTCTGTAGTTGGGGGTCTCCTAGGCCTATACTTGAAGGCGCCTAGCTTTAAAGACTGGAGTTTCATTGCGAAGGCGATGAGGTGGTTTCACCTCGCAGCCGAATTGCAGCTCATTTTACGAATTGAGTAGGTGGTGTTGCAGCGAGTCAGACTGGGGGGACCACCTCAAGCTTCAGGCCGAGCTCGGGGCTAGAAGCTCGGGGCCGGAGCAGATCCACGGCACGGCGATAGTGGGTGGTATTATTAACCCTAAGGCTAAGCCTCGCGGGCAAGGAGCGGCGGAAGGCCGCATTTCGGCATGGCATGGCATGGTTTGGTTTGGTATGGTATGGTATGGTATGGTATGGTATGGTATGGTATGGTATGGTATGGTATGGTATGGTATGGGAGGGAGGTTTTGATACTCGGTCGGTCAGCACACCACTTGTTGATTCCCTTTGTTATGCGGGATGTCTAGGTCGTGTAATGATGTGTACGACCGTGCTCGGTATGCAATCGTATTCATGCAAGAGTTACGCCTCTGTCGCACGCATATGACGGCGTTGGGCGTTGGCTAATGACTGACTTCGGGGCAGTACTGTCTTGATCATTGATGGTGATGCTCAACCTTGCAGGTCTGTCTGTCTGTCTGTCTGTCATGGCGGCGTAGGATGGCAGGATGGTATATAACACCCCATTACCTGTGTCTTACATAGTAGGACTGTGCATCTGGCTTGGATCGTTGTTGTTTTTTCAGCACAACGTACCTGTCCAATGCGCAGTGATCTGACTGCTCCTCACTCTGAGAACAACAATTCCCCATCTGTCTGAAGGAATCCCAACAAATTGGCCCTTGGCCTAATAATGTTACAGGACAGGACACCAGCAATCTGACACTGAAAGCTTATCCTTAGCCAACCCCAGATTCACATTGTTATCTCTCTTTTCTTTTTCTGCGCCAATCACATACATGTTTGCTTTTTATTGAATGGTCTAGAGCAATGGTCGGCCAGCAACACTTGGCCGGCTTGACCAGATATGAAAACAGCGGCTCAGTGGTATGCATGTTGCAACTCTCGTCACTGCCGATGTGACATCCTTAATCAACATGCAGATGGCATGAACAGCTTGTGGCTTTTTCTCTCTCTTCTCGTTTTCCTTATTGTCCCATTGCGCTGGTACGGGGTACACGGGCTTGGTTTCTTTTTGCCTGTAAGACCAACAACCAATTGAGTTACTAGTCTGAGCCACCAAACACACAAAGACATATGCATTGGTCTATTTCCTTTAATACCAACACCGTCAGCGTCCTCTAATATGATCAGCTTGTCATGACTATGGTAATAGCTTTTGTGATATCTGAGATTTGTCGAGGTGGACAAGCAACCTGGGCCGCTCATAGGTAATTCAAGAGTGGACGGCATCAAAAGGTACCTGTCGAATTGCAGCCTTTTCCAGATACCATCGTCACATTTCGTGCCACTTTTGTGATACTTCCTGCAATACTCTCTTAAGCAAATCTGACCACACACATCAGGTACTTGAATCAAAGTTTACTCCCGTGTTTCAGAGACTAGCTGTCTGTGTGACAAGCCCTGGGACGCGTGGTGTGACGCAAGCATATACTGAGACGGGACTACTCAATGATTCTCTCAGGGTATATTTTGCGAAAGAGAACGGGGAAATCATTTCATGATCGTGATATGAGGTTTAGTACACTTGGTAAACGGCGCCAACACTCCCACCCGGCTGTCACCTCTTCCGATCCAACTCCTGACTAGTCGTGATATCTTTAAAAACAAAAACAAAAACAAAAGAGTGGCATTAGTGGCAGTGTGCTTAGTTCAGGAGGATGGAAACCTGAATAAGGTCAGCTATTTCAAAATCATCTGGAGCGGTAAAACGTACAGCCATGAGGACACAGCATATACTTATATATGGGCTCAGTCTTTCTCCTATCCTCGCGCATTTCCAGAAGATGCCCATGAATCTAGTGTTGTCAGCCCCGTCTCCGCTAGAGCGGCGTGAGTCGCATTTCGTACCCGTTCTTGTTTCGATCCATGATGCCAGGTGTGAAGTGGTGAACGTATGCGCTCGTGCATATAAGCAGCAGGAGGACGAGGAGGAGAGATTGGAAGTTGAAGAGGGCGGACTAGAGTGGCTGTCAGTGTGTTGATTCACCGTTGCAGAGCCCAGAGCATACCATGTTGACGCCTCGATGAGCTGCTACTATGGTGAAGAGGTATTGAGGTCGTATATCTCGTTCGTAGTCTTGGGTGTTAAGCTCAGCGTTGCCTTCTCACATCTATGCAACAAGCTGTGCTTAGGGGTAAAGATTCGCCGGAGCCGCGACGTGTTTCTAAGGGGTGACGTACCTGGAAGTAAACCCCCACAGAGCTGCTGACCCCACTAAACACCCCCCCAGATGAACCTCCAGCTGTCGCAAGGCTGCGCTGAGCTGAGCACATGAATCTTTCTGGTATTTTCAACTACATGTCTATCGCGAGGCTGCGTCACCTCGATTTTGAGAAGCGATCTTATTGAAACTTTTATCCCTCGGACCAGATCTCTATTCTTTTCTTGCTCATTGCATGCTTCAAGCGCGTTAGGCGCAAGTAATCACATTCATCATGGAGCCTCGAGCGCGTGCCGGCAAGAATGTCGGCAAGATGAACTTCAGCCATGCAGAGTGTACGTCGTCTTCCGTTCGTTCTCGAGATCCTCGCTTGCTGAACCGATAACAGTGGCACAGCTACTCTACGCACACGGCGATGTTCAAAACCCACTCCCAGAAACCGTGCGGGTACTCGACGAAATCCTCACCGACTTCATGCAATCCATCGCCTTCGAGGCGACACGAGCGGCTAATTATTCAGGCCGCCAAAAGATCAAATACGAAGACTTTGAGTTCGCGTTCCGTAAGAATCCCGCGTTCCTGGGCAAAGTGCAAGAGGTATTCGAGAAGCAAAAGGAGATCAAGAAGGCTCGTGAAATTTTGCGAGATGGTGAGGACGAGATCATGAAGGATGCTGCGGACGAAGAGAAAAAGCGAGAGAAATCAGATACAAGGACGGGAGGAGCAGTGGGAGCCGCGACGTCAAGGGTCGAAGAGGAGTTGGGTGAAGCTGACGATGATGCCGAGGCGGAGCTCGATGCTTTGGGTAAGAAGCGTTGAAGGAAATTGAGCAGGGCCGGGCTCTCACGATTGGCGTTCCACCACTTGATTCTATTTCGGCGTTCTACAGAGATATTGTTATGGGTTGGGAAGGCGTTTGGAGCATACTATCGTGGATTGGGTTGGAGTTACAGTCAGGGACGAAGCAAAGACACGTCCTAATAAATTAGAGGACCCTTACACTTTTGGGTGGACCGCATTATAACAACCGAATCATTGTGGCATTTTCATGTCTCAGAGTCTATAGGCACTAAATCTTGAGGTTTTGATCATCGACTATACATCCAAGCCTTGGACGAGTAACTAGCTGCCAATCCAAATCGAAGTTTTTGTCCATTGTGATATTTTGCCATACATATAAATGAATGGCTGATCTGAAACACATGTCAGCGAAGCTCTGGGCCCATTTCGAACTTGGAGAACACTACATAGACCAACCAATATATCCCCAAGGGGCCTACCTACCTATATAAACTTTCTTACCTTAACTTATAAGGCAACGATATGTATCATTCTATGGAGCTACATGGCAATAGCCTTACGGGTTATACCTCTAAAGGCCGCCAACTAGGGGCATCGTGAAACCAAGAAGTGGTGGGAGTGATGGCGGTGAGCGGTATAGCGAGATGAGTTGAGACACCCGAAACATGCAGTTGCCGAATGAACTCTTGTTCCACTTGGTATGTCTAATGAAGCTGGAACTTGCTGCTTTTACAATGTTCAAGCCAGCTATCTTTTACGAGTACTGTTCGTCGAAAATACGGCTGCGACTCAATATCTGCAACTGAATCGACAAGTCGGCCCAAGACCTTCAAAGCACGAGAAGGCTCTTCTTGAGCATTGCGTCCTGATTTGATACTCGGGAATATTATGACAATTCAACATCCTGTATCTCCTCTATATCAACACCGGATGACTCCACGGTCGAAAGAGTTGGCTAAGCTGAATCGACTTGAAGACACGCAGCATAACCTTTGTGGCTGTAAGTGCCGTGGTACAAACCAAACAGCCTCAGACCTCAAACATAAGCCCTGCATATATTAAATCGTCTACAGTTTATATATTATTATTAAGGGAAACGAGGGTCTCGGAAGCATTCGGTGGTTAACTAAATGACCAATATGGGTGGGAGCTGGTATGGTAAGGAAGACGAAGGCAAATCTCATCCTTGACTGCGTATGTTAGAATTACCAGACATCGTATAGCCAGCGTGTCTGGGACTTGGATATAATCTTTACTGTGTCAGATATATAATGAAATGTTGTCCTTGGTCGAGGCAGAGTTTACCTACCTACTAACTAGGTACCCTTTAACAATTCATGAGTAGCCGAAGCGGGAATAGAAATAGCATCGAGTGTTATTTCCGGACCCATCATCACTTCCATCCTCAACTGGACCTCACCTAGCTCACATCTTCATCCTCGGCCGACTTAACCGATACCGAAATCGGGGCGAGATAGGGCGCAATTTTTCTAGTTGCAGAGCCAAGACGATGCAAGTGGTGGCCAACAAGTCACATCAGCATCTTCTAAGCGCCCACTCGCTGACTTTTGAGGCCCTCGCCACTCAAGTCTCTTTTCTTTCTGCTCGCGTGCCCCAGCAATTCTGCCGGTTTTGCTCTTTATGAGAATAACCAAACGAAAGAGTTATCACTAACATTCAGAACTAAAGGGTGCCTTAAACCCACTGACTCCCACCCAGCTTAGACGGTCCAAACAAAGATGCTCCCCTTCGTCATCAAGGGTCTTGAAGAGTTGCCTACCGGGGTCTAGCAGTAAACTCCACCCCCACTGCGAGAGACTTGCTCTTGTTGGCTCATCGGTTGGTTGATGTGAGAGAAGAGAGCAATAGAGGATCCATGATCGGTGGGTTTCGGCTGCGGGGTGGTTGGTTATCAATGGTTGACGCTCAAAGAGTCGTCGATCCGGAGCTTTTCAGATACTGTACCTATTTGTAACAAAACATTCCTATTCGCTTCTCAACTGTGACTTTGCTCTTTCTTCTTACTGTGCCGTATCTTGACGTTGACTACTCGTGACAACCTCATGGACTAGAAATAGCTTCTTATCATCTCACACAATGAATCCAACTCCTCCGCCGTATGAGGAGGTTCCTCGGAGCAAATTGTTGCCTGGGGGCACCCATGAATCACATCAGCATTTGTTACCACCTTCGCCATCACCAGACCTCCTGTCTTCAAAGGTTGATGGTTCGAGTTTCGATGACTTCCGCCGAATGTCATCGAGTCCATCTCCATGCCCTTCGCCAATACCTCTAAGACACTTCTCACAACAAGGAGCCGATCTGCCAACCGAAACTCCACCGTCGAAATGGAGGCAGTTCTGGGTAAAGAATAAGCCCGCTGCCTACGTTGCTCTATCGCAGTTCTTCGGGGCTCTGATGAATCTCAGTGCTCGTTTAGTCGAACTCGAAGGCGACGGCATGCATCCCGTTCAGGCCCTACTTATGAGACACTCCATCACAGCACTATTCTGTTCGGCTTATATGTGGTGGAACAAAACCCCCGACTTTCCCTTTGGAAAGAAAGAGATCCGATGGCTGTTGTGGTTGCGAGGAGCAAGTGGTTTCTGGGGTATTTTTGGCGTTTGGTATTCGATGATGTACATCTCGCTCGCTGATGCTACTGTTATCACATTCTTGGCTCCTGGTGTTGCAGGTTTTATCTGTTGGTTTGCTCTTCGTGAGCCTTTCACTAGGATCGAGCAACTGGCTACGCTGGTTGCTCTTCTAGGTGTTGTACTTATTGCTCGACCTGCCTCACTATTCTCGGGCTCTGATGATGACAAGTCGACTACCGAGCCGCCCGAGGCTAGTGGTATACCAGGTATTGACCATGAAGCGACCCCTGAGGAGCGCTTGATAGCTGTTGGTATAGCCCTTTTGGGTGTTCTAGGAGCAGCTGGCGCCTTCACGACCCTCCGAACCATCGGGAAACGAGCACATCCTCTCATCTCGGTCAACTATTTTGGTATCATCTCGACTTTCATCGCTCTATCCATGCTCATCTTTGCCCCTATCCTCGATATTCAGCAACCAGGTTTACGATGGGTCACCCCAACCACAGTCAGGCAATGGGTACTCCTGCTACCCCTGGGTGTTCTGGGATTCATCATGCAGTATCTCCTCACGGCAGGCCTCGGGGCCGACAAGTCAAACCGTGCTAACTCCATGGTTTACACGCACATGCTTTTCGCCGCAAGCTTCGATCGATGGGTTTTTGGACACAGAATGGACTTCATTAGCGGTGCAGGATGTACTCTTATTCTAGGAAGCGCTATTGGTGTCGTCATGCTCAAGAAACCACCAGCCGCAAAACAGCCTTTGGATGATGTCGAGAGACATGGTAATCTGGAGGGTGAGATGGAGGGCTCACCCATGCTTGTGCCCGATTCAGGGGCTTCAGAGGAACTGAGGCTTTCGAGATAAGAGCATGATAAAAGGTTGAAAATTTGTATATATCGTTTTGAGAGTCTGAAATGCCAACGTTGGACCGTTGCACCTCAGCAACAAGCGCCACACTTTATTTCAAGTTTTGATATATGTTTACTCAACTCCATCGTACGACTTTCTCGACTAGCGAAACAAGAATGCATCAGGGTGTGATTGGGGGAGTGGCTCCTATGCTTGGTTTATGCCGAACCCATCGGAGTGGCGTTGTATTTATAGTCTCCAGATTGTATGAACGTGACTTTCTATAAACTCATTATATGTCCGGATCCTTATTTTCTCTCACTGAGGGAATGTGAAACTGGGCTCCTCCAGTAACTCCATCATTTGCTGACTGCTATTGAACCATTCACCAAGTTGCGCCGTGTTGCCCATCCACATCATCGTGTTTGCTCCTCTCTGGCCATCGGCACCATCAAGCATATTCATATCCCCAAGAGGCTGTGAGAATGCACCAGCCTGACTAGGGTCCATGTGCGTCGATTGTTGAACCCCGTTGTTCAGACCTGCTGGTGGAAATCCGAGAGCGGCGAGATAGTTGTTCAGTTCAGCGCTGGCCTGTGTTTGGTCGGCTGGAGGAGTGCTTGTCCGGAACTCAATGTATCGTAGTGCTACTGTATAGAGAACCTGAAACAGGCGATATGTCTTCGCCGCTGCATCCGATAACTGAATAGTCGTCTCAAGAGATGTGCAGAAGCTATGCAGACGAGCAAGGTCCGTCTGGTCTTGGGTCTCAATGACTTGACAGAACACAACAATGAAAGGGATGAAAGGGGCAAAGAGTAATGTCCTAATCATATCAGCATTATCTCAAAATACCACGTAGGTGGGTATATGTACTTACCAATGAACGTAGGAAGGAAAATATACAGTATTATCCCGCCCCAAGAGATCCATGCAATCTTGATGGCGGTGTAGTGTTGCACGTGCAGCCTCAATACACTCTGGAATAAATGTCACTTTGGAGTTGGGCGGCCCAGGCGTAGCTCGATAAATCAGAGTCAGAAGTGAAAGTCGAAGAACATCATCAGAGATGAGAATAAAATCGAAGAAGTACTCCCCAAGATTCGTCTTGACTTCCTTTTCGCGGGATTTCTGCAGAGCACACGTTAGAGGTTGACATATCGAACATTCACGGTTTGGGCTCTCACACTCAGCTCCTTGCTCCTCCTCGAGATATCCTTCAGATCGTTCACAAGCTTTTGAGCACGGAACCTCCTCACATCATCGGACTGTGCCATGGAATCTGGGCTGTACAGTAGCTCATATATATGTCCCTGACACCGAGCTGTGGCGACCCAGAGGCAAATGAAGGCCGATAGGGGCGTAGCATTGGGAGGGTTCGAGGTAAGAAGGGGTACAGTGACATCCCAGTCTTGGATAGTAGAAGCCCTGCCGAGCCTAAGGGAGAGACTCTTGTCTATGAAGTATGTGTTCCAAAATAGAAACTGTTTGCGCTGAGCCTCGCGCGGCTTGTCATTCTTCATGGTTGATATCCGGTGATAACCTAGAGTCTGGCATAGTTCGGAGGCTTTACATGATAAAGTCCATGAGAGTGATGGTTTTGAGATCTCAATAGCATAAAATGCCTAAAAGTATGTGAGTATATGGTATCAAAAGAAACATCAAAGGGTGGCATACTCCAAGAAGAAGGGCAGAAATCATGTTTGAGGTTGCAGGCAGATGAAAAGGCAAATTTGCCAACGCCGTTTCGGTGTTTTCACGAAGTGTTTTCATGTAGCCCTCGCACTCTTCTTGCTCTTTTGCGTCTGCCGTCCGCTGCTGGCGATCCATGAACATGTACATCAGGCCAACATTCACAAGGATGAAATCAGCCTCTGAGACATCTTCTGAGAAGTACACGTGAAGACACATGCCCGAGAAGCTTTCCATAGAAAAGAACTCCCTTATCCAGGCAGACACTTCTGAGTTCTCAGCTGAAGTCGGTTAGTTCAAGATGGTGAAAGGGGGGATCAAGATCACTGACTCTCACATTCTCGTATCAAGGCAACGGCTGTTTGGATTGGAGGTAGCTCGTTATTCTTTAGACTTGGACGTGGTAGTTGCCTAGCATGGGGGTATGACATTTCCGTGGCAGCCGTCTGTTGCTTGAGAGAGCTGACGATGTGATGGAGTGAATCCAAGGTCTCGCGCAGCTCGAGGCTAGCACCCTGTAAAGACTCTGTACCAACAGCATTTTTGAGGAATTCGTTTGCAAATTCACCATGAGCAGCTAAGGAAGATTCTCCTTCGATGACCGGGCTGTCTGCAGTTTGCTGAGCGAGATGCCCATAGGGTGTTGAGCTCGAGGCCTGAGCAGGTGATTGGCGGGGAACATCAGAGCTGGGCATGTGATTTTGACTGGATTGGGTGCTTGTAGATGACATGTTCATCTTCATATCACGCATGAGCTCGGTGAGGGCCTCAAGGCGACGGTCAATGATGTCGATCTTTCTCTCACTACATGGTTGATTGGTAGTCAGTACGTGTTACTTTTTGGTACAAACCAAAAGCAGCGAGTGCTCAGGTAGTATCAAAAGCAAAAGACCCAGGGCAACTTACTATTGGGCTGAGAGGAGGATCCGGGTTCTCTTCTCCTTTGGGCGAGTATCATGGTGTGTACATGGGATCTTGGCGTGAATGCAATGAGAGCAGGGAGAATTCCTATCGCAGCGGATCTACATAGATTGATGTTACTATTTAGTAGCTATAGTTGTTGAGCTGAGTGAAGTAATCTCAAGTGAGAGCTAGGGCCATGTTGAAGATGGCTTCCACTCTTTACCCCAGCCTCTGTGGCTACTGGCTAGAGGTCTTTAATGGCTGGAGCATTGATGGAGTGATATGCATAAAATGTAGATTAGATTGATATGTGCATACCTTGCGAGTTCGGCATGCATCGCACTAAGATTAAGCAGTGTTAGTGACGAGAGCGTACGTGGGGATAGAGACAGGACAGGACAGGACAGGACAGGGCAGGGCAGGGCAGGGCTTCAGGGTCTGTGTACTAACTGCTCGTCGAATAGTCAGGTTAGAGGGGTTCTGGGGCCCATCGGATCCCTCATCAGGGCCATCGTCCAACTGGGCCCGAGAATCTTCAGCCATGAGGTTAAATACGGGAATCACGGGCACCGTTTGTTTGTGTGGACGACAGGGGATTACACGGCTGAGTGAGGGGTCAGATACGGACAAGATCCAATGCTATGAAACAATGCCACAGAGGAAAATGTTTATGGGAAAAGTCACGCACTACAAGCAACCAAACTCACATGGCATTTTGAACGACTCACACCCAAGACTCGGGAGGTTCAACGGAACGCGCGGGGTCCGGAAGAATAGAGGCCGTTGAAGATGGGATCCGGATATGGAGACTCGAGTTGGCGGCTCCCGAGAACACCGTAAATCCGAAAGAGCCAATAGGAAGAGAGCATGTCTCGGGGCAAGGATCTCCATTCAGATGGGAGGGAGCCATGATCATGGTCTCATCTACTAATCTAATCTATGAGTTGATTAAAAGCATGGTTGCCATCTCAAGGTACGGGAAGACATTTGCGTAATTTGATGACGATGATGCAGTCTCAGTCGGGTAATAATGCAGTGAAATATCAAGATCCATCCATTTAGTTGAACCCTTTTAATATTAAGCCAAGACTTCAGCCATGAGATGAGGCATGTGTCCGGCTTGATTTCCGAAAAGACCCTGGTTCAACTGAATGCATGGCATGCATGGTCTCTCAATGGATGAATGGACTGCTTCATAGAAAGGAGACGATGGAAATGTTACTTGTGAGAAGAAAATGAGAAACTACCTACCTACCTACCTACCTAGGTGTCCAAAGGCCTCCTACTAAGCAACAGTATCAAATACAGACAATTCAGCAAATACACAAATTCTTCCCTCAACCTCCGTGATCGCATCGATAATTTTCCTAGATATCCATTATCAATCAGTGACCCACTTGGACCACTTTACATGCGGATCTGATAAAAAAAACACAAGCTAAAATGCCAAGGATCACCATTCGTTGCCGTCTAAATCTGGTCTACCCTCACTCCACCCCCAAGGTTCACCTCTCAAAAGTTCTCGGGTGCTGTTTTCTTCAAAAGCACGCTATCCCCTTGGTAAAAGTCATGGTCTCTTCCCTCTCCTGTCTGGTTCCGTCAATCTATTTCCTTCCCTAAGCAGGGCTCACAGCCTGAATACACTGGCCTGATTCTTTGACTTTACATCAAAGCGCCAGATCACACGAGTTCACTTCTTTCGGGCGTCAGAATCGCCTGGTGCAATTAGTGCGGCAGATCACCATGGCTCCCAGTATCAACGAGAAGGAAAATGAAAAGGTCATAGGTGGCAGCGATGCGACCTCGACTCCTGAAGATGCCGTTGTCAACGCGGAGGGCAGCGATGCTCCCAGTCCTGGAGAAGAGGGAGAAATCGAGGGTTCTTGGGGTGACTACAAGGTGATAAACAACAATAAAAACCCACGTAAAGTAACATGCTAACGCTCTAAAGCGTATCCTCACATATGCAGGCCCTACAGAGTATCTAATGCAAGGCATTGCTCTCATTGCCGCCATAGGTTCAGGTGCCGGTATCGCTCTCCAAAACCTCATCTTTGGGCAGTTCATCACCACAATCACCGACTTTACATCTGGAGATTCTCAGCCTAGCAGGTTCCGAAAGGAAGTTGCTGACCTAGCGTGAGTCCTTCGGAGTCATGTCCCATACAGCTCTCTCCTAACGTTCATACAAGACTCTACTTTGTGTACCTTGGCATTGGTCGATTTGTTCTCTCCTACATCTGGAACGTCTTCCTCACCTACTCATCTTACCGTATTGTACGCAACATTCGAAAGGAGTACCTTCGCGCTGCTCTTCGGCAAGAGGTTGCCTACTATGACTTCGGGAGCGGCGGTTCCATCGCTACGCAGGCTACCTCCAACGGCCGCTTGATTCAAACCGGCATCGCTGAGAAACTTGG